GCAGGAAAGCAGCTGTAGAGAACACATACACTAATGTGCATGGCTGTGCTGAAATAAAACTTCATGTACAAAAAACAGGCAAAGGGCCAGGTTCAGTGCTCCAACTACAGTATGCATGTCAAGGTGGAAATAATGAAAGAGTGCCTTTAAAAATGGTCAAAATCAAGACATGGTAAGTTATAGTGATTCCAAAAATAAAAGAGCATAAACTTCTATTTGGATATATCAAAGATCCATGAGAAACTGAAAAGTGTCACCCAAGGTATAACTTTTTTTTTTTTATTGTGCTTTAAGTGAAAGTTTACAATTCAAGTTAGTCTCTCATACAAAAATTTATACGTACATTGTTTTGTGACCCTAGCTGCTCTCCCTGTACTGTGACAGCCAAAACTCTTCCTTTCTACCCTGGATTTCCCGTGTCCGAGGTATAACTTTATGGACAGTAGAGAGGTCAGGAAATACACCAAAGGAAGACCCAAGGAAAGAGTTGCTTTAAAATACATAAAACTGGACAAAGTCAAAATGTTGGATGAAGAAGGCCAAGATTTCTGGTCCTCAGTGTTGTGAGCCCAGCTATTCATGTGAGTCCTCCAAGAGACCTATCACTGTGACAGCTGCCCTGCTGATGTGTCTCACCAGGTGCCCCTTCATGTTCCTGTACCTCAGGCTATAAATGAAGGAGTTCAGCATGTGTGTGACCACAGTGTACATCACCAAGGCCATAAGACTTGTCCTAGAAGGTGGTGTGGCTGTAGAGCTGAAATAGACCTCAAGGGCTATGCCACAGAACAAGGAGACAACTGAGAGGTGAGACTCACAGGTGGAAAAGGCTGTGTGGCTGCCCTGTGACATTCTCAGTATGGAAGAGATAATCTGAGACTAAGAGAAAAATATTCCAGTGAAAGGAATCAAGGCCAGAAGACTAGTCAAAAAATACATGACTATGTTATTGATGAGGGTGTTTGAACAGGTGAGCTTCTGGACTTCCATGTTTGTTTAAAAGAACAGGCTCAAAACAGTCAATGTCTCCACCAGGGAGCCCATGACACTGAAGCATCAGGATACCAAAACCAGCAGTTCCTAGAGTTGGGGGTTCATGATGACCGTGTAGCACAGGGGGTGACAGATGGCAGCGAAGCCATCATAGGCCATCATGGTTAGTAGTAAATTGTCTAATTATCGAAAAACAATGACAAAAATGTCTGGGTGAGGCAGCCTTCATACTTTGTTCTGTGTCTGGACGATTTGTGACTCTTCAAAGAGGAGAAGTACATAAACAGGCATCTGGGGTACTACACAGCATGGGTGGGGAGAAAGATGATTTAGAGAAATTATCTAAACTAGCGCTTTCAAGGGCAATAATGAAAGAAAAGTTTAGAAACATTGGTCCAGAGGTATGGAGGGACAGAAGGCCTTGGTAAGCAATAACTCCCTTAATACAGAGGAAGGTAAAGAGAAATGTTCTCACTAAGAACCCTAAAGCAGTGACGTCTCTAGCTTCTGGTGGGGTTTTTGCAATTCACTGCATTCCATCTCCCAACTCTTGTTCTGTGCTTTGCTAATTCACAAATTCAGTGTCAAAGGAGTCTCTACATTCTCCAGCATCTTTCTCTACAGTGTGTTTTCAAGAACCAGCTTTTTTCTCATAAGACATGGGAGATGTACCACAGATATGCACCAGGATCCACATACATATTCACCACAGACACATGCCAGGATGTTCACTGGAACATTACTGGCAGTAGCTCCCAAAAGGAAACTACCAAAATTCCCATGAATAGTCAAGTGGGAGCATTTACTAAAACTAGACCCACTGCGGATGAGTCGACTGCGACCCATAGCTACCCTATGGGACAGAGTAGAAATGTCCCATAGCATTTCCAAGGCTGTAAATCTTTACAGAAGCAGACTGGCACATTTTTCTCCCATGGAGTAGCTGGTGGGTTTGACGCTGCCCTTTTGGTTAGCAGTCAAGCACTTTTAATCACTGCATCAGCATATACATGAATGAGAACGGTTGATCTACAGCCACATCTAACAATGGAAGAACTCAGTGAAATAAGCCATATACAAAATAATACATAGTTTATGATCCATTTATATAAAGGACAAAAAGAAGCAAAATTAATCAATGGTAGTATAGTGGTTACCCTGGGTGGAGGACATCTACATGGTAGTCTAAGTGAGGGTTTTCTAGGGTGCTGGTTATATCGGTATATTCGATTTACAAAAACTGAGCTGAATATTTATAGTGTTTTCATCTGTGAATATTATATTTAAATAAAACATTTTTTAATGTGAAAAAGAGGGTAAGCATGCCTCCAATGAAATAATATGATATGATAAAGAGGTGAGGGTGGCAAGACAGAGCAAAGATCAGACCTAAGGGAGGAAACCTCCTCATAGAGGAAAAGACCCAGAAATTGAGACTAGAGTGAGAAAGGATAGCAGTGGGGTGAGAAAGAATCAGAAACCCAAATGCCTCTCCATAGTTAGGGATTATACATTGCAGAACCTTCTACTTGGGAACTTTGCCCAACACATCCCCATTGCCGTATCCCTGGAGCTATTGCAGGCAAGCTTCTTTCCCACAGCACTTACTGGGCTCCATTGGATCATCAAGATGGCACCAGTGAAGGAAAAAATCCCTAGCTTCATTAACCAGTGAATCAGATGTGAGGTCCCTAGACTCAATGAGATAGCTGGAAGGGAAAGGTAAATTTCTTCTTCATCCAGAAATAGTGGGCTGAAGGTGAGGGGCAGGAAAAGAAGATTCACATTTGCAATAGACTTGACATTGTGAAGTAGAATTTTCACAGCTGCTCATGAAACATAGTTAATTGTCACACTCTTCTCCAAGAAATCCATTCAGCTACTGATGATGGCAATGGAAGGAGTCAGCCTTCAAGGCTTGGGCATTGAAGAATCTCAGTAAGTTTATTAAATGGAAATTTATAGTTGCAGTAAATGGTTGGAAGAGATGGCCCTAATTCTCCAACTCTGAATCCATGTCTTTTGCAAACTCCTATCAAGAGCTGATGTCTGTTTCTCCCCTTTTGAATCTGAGCTGGAATTTATGATTCCCCCCGCTCTCCGCTCTTATTAGGAATTCCTGTCCCACCTTCAGCTGTTTCCCCAAAGAGTCATGTGTTCTGTTTGTATTAGAAATTTATTCATAGTTTGAGGAATGTATGTTGAATGCCAACTATGCCAGGCTCTGCCTAATCAATCAGTATACAATGCTAAAAACAAAAGTCCTTATAATCTAGTGATGGAGAAAGATGGTTAAGCAAGTATAATCATGATCATTATCCTCCTCCTCATCATCATATAACTTGTCAGATGGTGACAACTGCTACGAAGAACATGAAAGCAGGCAAAAAAGGGAGTGAATAAGGGTGCTGGTATTTATGAGTGTTCAGGCAAGACCAGCAGACAAGGTGACATTTGAACAGAAGCCTCAAGGATGAGAAGGCAGGAGCCACAAGGATACGGGGGGGAAGTGTGTGCTGCAGAGGGAGCAGCCAGTGCAAAGGACGTTACTTTGGAAATGGCTCGTTTCAGATATTCAACGCCATAAAGGAAGCCAGTATGAGAGGGGAAGTAGTAAAAGAGAGAGTATTAACATGTCAGAGAAGGCTGAAGAATAAGGTGATTTTACGGCTCATTCAAGATACAGGCAACTTCTCTGTCCACAAGTTGGTGCTTGCACTTTACTGATTTGGTTGAAATACATCCCATGAATTGAATTGTATCCCCTTCCTTACTGCCATCTACTGGTTTGCATTCTGGACTCTGTTATAAGAGAGACATTTTGGGATGTATGACCCAATTCCCCCTTCTATGAAATCTGCTCACACTCAACAAAGTATACACACACTCTCTCTCACACATACACACACAACACACACATGGATTAGGACAGGGGTGGATAAAATCTATGCTGACAATCTCAGGTTATTTTTTCCAAAAATACTAAGAAATGGTGTCCAAATATTCCAGCTGGGAAGCCTTGCATGGACATGTAAACTCGGGCTCATTGTGGAATAGTCATTTTCTGTCCAGTGTTTAAAGAATCTAAAAAAAATGCTCAAAAAACTGAGATTGCTACAGGCCACCCCCTCTCTTCAGCAAATGCAGGGCTGCCTGTTGGATGAGCCACCCACTGAATGCCTGCCCTGATGCCAGTCCAAACAGAAGGGTGCTAGTTCTTCCAGAAAGCAGTCTCTGCAGATCCCAGCAGCAACTGAAATGATACATTGCTTTCGGAATACAAAATAGCACAGCCCCTTTTAAAAACAGATTGGCAGTTTCTTACAAGGTTAAACATACACCGACCATATGGTAACAATCCCATTCCTAGGAATATGTGAGAAAAATGAAAACTTTATGTTCACATAAATCCTCTTCAGAAATGTTTATATCAGCTTTACTATAACAACTGGAAAACCAAATGTTCTCCAAATGGTGAATACACAAGCAGTGGTACGTCTATAAAACAGAACACTACATAGCAATAAAAAGGAATAAGCGATCGAGACATTCATCAATGTGGATGAGTCTCAAATGCGTTATATTAAGTAAAAGGATCCATAATCAAAAAGCTATATAGTGCATCATATATACAGGGACTGTTGCCAAGGATTCATAGGGCAAGATTTCATTAAAAAGGGGCAGCCTGTGGGATGTTTTTGGCAGAAAGAAAGGTACTCTTCTGTACTTTAACTGTGCTACTGATTATAAGTCTTAATGCTTTTATCAGCTCACATTCCAAAAGAGAATTACTGTTTGGAAATGTTGAAAAAAAAAAAAAACTCCTTTAGTGGCAATCAATATTCTGGGCATCTATCTAACAACTCCCTTCCTGGTGGACACTGATTTCCACTAGCTACCACTGTTACCAACAGGCACCAGCACGGTGCCCAGGGATTTCCATAGGATGCTAAAAGGGGAATTGCTGGGTCAAGAGAAGGTCTAATCTGCAGCTACGATTTCAACGCCCTTTACATAAATTGCCAGTGAGGCAGCTCCCAGCTAACAATGGGGCAGAGTGGCACCAGATAAACCTTCGGGCCCAACAGCCACTTAGCTTGTCCTTACTAATGCAAGAACCCCAGGTGGTGTGCTACCTTCTCCATCCCTTACAGTGGGTATGCACATCAGGTGGAGCAGACACCACTATTCCAGTCCTCAGCTCCTGACTAGGCACAACTCTTGGAATGTCAGAATTATCAAAAGTAGGACTCTGTCACTAAGCACAGGCTCTGAGCCTGTGCAGGACAGAGGGTCCACAGCAGCTAGGTGAGACTGGGGCACTGTGTTGGCACACAATTGCCTTGGGCCCCAGAAGGGACTATCCTTGTCACAATGCCACTTGAGAGAGGAATACTTGTGTGGAATGACTTTGGGTTAAAATTTCTGTGCAGTTTCTTCATCAGTAAACCAAGGATCATGATTGTAGTCGAGGAGAAAGAGATGAGATGCAAAACATTCCAGAACAACATTAAACATGTAGTCAATCCTCATTCTGTTAAAAACATTGCTTTGCATACAAAGAAGGCTGAAAGGAAACACTCAATATACCAAGCATGGTCAGATTCTAGGTGACTTTTATTTCTTCATACACTTTTCAGTGAAAAACAATTTTCTATAATGAGAACATGCTGCTTTATACTCTGAAAATATGCTTAAATTTAACATAGTCGATAGAAAAGACTTCAAAACACCCATGTTGTTGATGAGACTTTCTAATGAAGAGAATTTTTATATAAATGAATCAAAATGCAGACACTATCAAAATTCATGTCCTAGAATTCAAAGAATATTTAGTGATATTTACCACCTTAATGTTTACATCAGAAAATAAAAAGTGGAACTTAACGCACATGGGAATAAGGCAGTAATAAATTCCATGTGTAACTTTTATAAAAGATTTTATAAAATCTTTTATAAATGATTTCTCCCCTAGTATGAATCTCCTTGTGCCCAATTATATGACTGAAGGCTTCCTCATAATGCTTACAGTCAATGGGTCTTTGCAGTGTGTGAGCTCTCACAGGTAGCCTGAGAGATGGTGGACACTGAAGGCGTCCATCGTCTTTTACAGTCATAGGATGACACCACAGTGTAATATCTCACATGTTGTCTAAGACTACACAGTGTGACTTCCTATATATTCCAATGGGCTTTCCATATGTGAAAATTTAAATGACTCTGGAGAAACACAGAAATTTTCCCACATTCCTTACACTTATGTGGGTAATCTGCCACGTATCTTCTTTTAGGTTTGCAAAAAGAAAACATGTAAGTTATCCAACACGTATATTGGTTATCCAACACGTATATTCATCCCTCATGAAAAGAAACTACAGAAATCTTGCCCAAAGTTGTTACATTCATAGTGTTTCTCTCCAGGAATTGTTGTCACAGGATTCTTAAAAGGGTTGAGATACAAATGAAGTCTTTCCCACATACCTTACCTTATAGGGTTTCTCTCCAGTAAGAGTTCTCATAGGGGTGCTTAGGTAACAGGGACAACGGCAGGCTTCTCTGGTATGATGCTTATATGATGAGTGATTCTTGAAGGTTTTTCCACACTCACAACATTCAAAAGGATTTACTTCTGGAGGAGTTCTTTTTAGTATAGTAAGATGTGGAATCCAGCTGAATGTCTTGCCACACTGAATGCCTTCCTTACGTTCATGGAGGTTGTCTACTTTACGGCTTCTGTTAAAAACAGGCAACATGGTGTTGGAAATAAATTTGTTCTCATTTCACCATTACCAAACACTGTACAACATGGTTGTTGCCCTGAGTTGTCTCATGTTTGATATGTTAAATAATCTAGCAGATATACTACCATTACTGTCACTGTTTTCCTAAAATACAGTCATGCATTGCTTAACGTCCATATGTTTTGTGAAATAGGATGTTATGTGATTTGGACGTTGTGGGGGCACTGTATTATATACAGGCAGTCCCTGGCTTACAAACATCTGACATACAAACTGTAGTTACAAACCAACACCTGTAAAGCCTATTATATTAAAAATCTGAGGTACATACACAATGGTTCATAATAACAAACAGGTGCTACTTTATAATGTGCATCAAAACATTATTATTATTATTACTGTATTATTATGTTAAAGATGTTTTAGTGTATCTGGAAATGTTTCTTTAACATGTTTCTTTAATCAGATTGGGATTTCTGAACCTTTTGGGACCACAGAAGTATATGTGGTTGGATGCTGCCCGAACGTACATTATGCAGCGCATGACTATACACACACACACACACACACACACACACACACAAACTTCTTAGACTGACAAGTATTGTGTCCAGTTAAAATCTGTTATGATGCTTACGTGATGAGTGTTCCAAGAAGGCTTTTCCACACTCACAGCATTCAAAAGGATATACTTCTGCAGGAATTCTTTTCAGCACAGTAAGATTTGAAATGTGCCGAAGGCTTTTCCACACTGATTGCCTTCATTACTTTCATGAAGGTTCTGTACTGTATGCCTTCTATTAAAAACAGGCAACATGCTGTTGAAATAAACTTCTTCTCATTTCCCTGTTACCAAACACTGAACATCCATGGTTTTTGCCCTGAGTTGTCTCACGTTTCATACATTAAATCATCTAGCATAGAGACTACTGTTACTGTTTTTCTAAAATATCAGCCTTTCTGATAATTGGGTACAAGTCTGTTTCAAATACTGAATATGTGACTCACATTGATGAAAATGTTGCATTCTGAGAAGTCTCTGAACACAGTTTTACAGCTAAACATACACACACATATTAATGTCATGCACCTTAGGACTTTCTCCCGAGGCTCTCGTTTGAATGACACTCACCTCGAATGTCTCCCCCAGTTTTTAGGTTGACCTCCACTGCCAAACAATTTGAAGATTTTTTCTAACTTTCAGGACCACTTGTTATTCTTCATGAATTGCACTATTGTAAGTTCACTGGATGATTTTTCTCCATCATTAACTTGTTGAGACACTGACCCAATGATTCAAGTTGAGGTTCACAATATGAAACAAAAAGGAAAATAATTATCAGGGGAAAAAAAGCTGCTGTGAATAAAGACACACATTTCACTGTTTCAGAACTTTGGGAATGGATAAAAAGCTGTTTACTAGGAAATACTTCTATGAGGATTGAGAGTGATCATTACATAAATAGGTATAATTAGAAGAGCTTAAGTAAAATATTGAACACATTACACATGTAACATTAAAAGAGGAAAAAAAGTATTTCTCCATGACTGCAGGTATGAAGGGATTGATAAAGTTAGAGAAGTAAGCTCAGGTATCTGCGAAGTCACCTCTTCAACACGAAAGAAACTTTCCCTAGCTGACTGAAATCTCATTCTCTCCACATGGCTGGTCCTTCAAAAAATTCTTGTTTATCTGGTGCTCCCTGACACAGTGGACCCGGATGAGTCTTATCTCCACTCTCCTCAGCTCTTTCCGTTACTTCCCTAGGGGATAAAATGGGTTCGTATATTGTTTCCCTCCATGGTGCTCATGGAGAAAGGCATATCATGAGGGAAGGCAGTATAAAGCAATGAACATTTCCCTAACACTAAGCCAATACTTTGGTCTTCAGGGTCTCTGAATATGGGCAGGTGTGAGTATACTTGCAGCAAAATGATCATTTCAAACTGGTAATAAACACAGTAAAATTCTACAAGGTCCCAAATCACAAAGCTGTCAGTCCCCCAAAGTGACCCCTGAAGACAGTGTGTAAACTTGCAACATGTAAAGAGCCTAAAGGTGTTTAATCACAAGAGAAATGAAAATCACTTCAATACATAGAGCTTTATGTTCATGGGGAAGTCAGGATATGTAAGCTCCACAGAGCAAGGGACCATGCTCATTTTACTTAACAATTTATTCCAATTCCTAAGTCCAAGTACTGGAGCCAAGTCAACAAGTACAATATTTTTCTTCACTAAAGGACTAAAAAAAAAAAAAAAAATGCCATTCTTACCTACTGAAGTCAGGTTTCTGAAGATTTCCAACATCACACCTCTGTAGAGTTTTCTCTGAGCAAGATCCAGCAAAGTCCACACTCTTCCTGAGTAAAGACCACAGCCACATCCTCAACGACCACTGAGTCCTAAAACATGCCACACATTCTGCATCAGCAAGGTACCATGTACTCCAATGTATGCAAAAGGAAGGGTGAGACCGACAGTCCTGGAGAACTAAGAATCCATAAGGATTTGACACAAGATTCTTCGTTCTACCAAGGTCTACTCTAGGGTACAGCCACCAGCCTCTTCCCTTCACTAACTGCATTCACTTCCTCACTAATTGCATCCTGTCTCATAAGACTGCCAACACATTGAAATAATCTCTCCACAGTTTGTGACCAATTCCAGTCTTATTCCCTTTTCTCCTTATGGTCTAGAACAGTTAGAGACTATGGAAGAAGTCACAGAAAAGATGTACTTCAGATTATCACTTCGTTGTGAACAATTTCACCTCCTTCCATCAGATACAGAAGAACACACAACAAAACAAAAAACACAGGGTGAAAGCAGGATAAGGTATTAACAACTGGAGAACACTGCAAAATGGCAGTTTTTCCTTTTGTTTCTTAAAGCCATAAAAGGACCAGAGGCCTGCACAAACAAACTGGCTACCCAAAGCCCTGAGCTGGTCACATTTTCTTTAACTTCAAGGGATCAGGAGATGAAAAAATAAATTACTTGATGAAAAAATATATATATATTTTTAAATTATTATTCCATAGAGGCAGACAAAGGTACTTAAAAGTTAAAGAGAGCTCAGGTGTGAGACAGGAAACATTAAAATCAAAATCTCCCCACAATTCTAAAATTCTGAAAACTGATGCAACTGTACACCAACTATTAGTGATCATACCCCTCAACAAACCCATACAACCACACAAACACGATCTAATGTTATGACAAAGAGTCCTACCTCTGTAGAAAGTGGAATAGCGTGCCATGTTTGTTGACTGAGAAGAGGTTACCATTCCCATTTTGTACTAACTTCACATGATGAATGTAATCAATGTCACCAAATTATACAGGAAAAAACTGTTAAGTGACAAATGATTTGCTTTATATATATATATATATACACACACAGGTGTGTGTGTTTTTTAACCACAAAAAATTAGCTTTGTAAGTTGAAGTGCAGAGGGTTTAGCTGTTAAAAAGTCCCTGTGAAGCCTAAGAAACAAGAGATTTACACACCAGTCCTCTGAAGGCTCCACTCCAAAATTTTCTCATTTGCAGCTCCTGGAAGGCACATAACCATGACTACCTGAATCTTGACTATTGAAATTCTCTGGTCAGTAGGATTGCCTTTGTGAAACAGCATTAACCCATTGGCTTTCTCCAGCAGTGAGGAGAGAAAAGGCTGCTAAACTCCACTTCAGATGCTAAAATTGGACTGAACAGCAGAATAGCTGTAGTATAAGACTCCTCTGTCAAGAAATGGGTGAAGTGAGCTATCTATGTCATCTCTAATCAATCCTGGTATGATGGTGTCACAATAAACTTTGAACCAGAGCCAAAATCTAGAAGTCTCCTCCACTGCAGTGGGCCAGGTTACATATTTTAAAGTCATCAAAACCCCTAACATTCATTATACAATGTATTAATAATAAAATGTTCCATAAATTGAGCAACTATGATTTGTGAAAGGTTGTGTAAAAATTTTTCGACATACTAGCTCATTTGTATCTCATGATTCTCCTAAGCAGATATTAACTACAAACAGCTCACAGCTGAGTAAAGTTAGAGACAATCAATCATGCTCAATGTTGCCCAAATGGATTGTTGCTTAGCTGGAGTCAGAATGCGGGTCAATTTGTCTTTGAGGCCTAAATTCCTGATAACTACATTTCTGTTCCTATACATAGTTTTGTTGGTATTCTGCTGTAATTCTCAAATAACGACATGGATCATCTAGAACCCTGCTCAGTACTACTAAGGGAAGAGACAAAGGAAACAACTTATTCTACTCAGACAATGTAGAGCTTCTTCTCCTGGCAAAGCCCTGTGTCTCAGGGAAGACTGCTTCCCTCCAGACCTGTAATGGATTGAACTATGTCCCCCCAAAAATGTGTGTATCAATTCGGCTGGGCCATGATTCCCAGTACTGTGTGGTTGTCCTCCATTTTGTGATTGTAATTTTATGTTAAAAGAAGATTAGGGTGGAATGGTAACACCCTTACTAAGGTCACATCCCTGATCCAATGTAAAGGAAGTTTCCCTGGGGTGTGGCCTGCACCACCTTTTATCTTACAAGAGATGAAAGGAAAGGGAAGCAAGCAGATAGTTGGTGACCTCATACCACCAAGAAAGCAGTGCTGGGAGCAGAGCGTGTTCTTTGGACCCAGGGTCTTTGTGCAGAGAAGCTCCTAGTCTGGGGGAAGATTGATGAGAAGGTCGACAGAGAGAGAAAGCCTTCTCCTGGAGCTGATGCCCTGAATTTGGATTTTAAGCCTACTTTACTGTGAGGAAATAAATTTCTCCTTGTTAAAGCCATCCACTTGTGGTATTTCTGTCACAGCAGCACTAGATGACTAAGACCAAGACCCTTACCTGTGGCTCCTTCATTTATAAAAATTGATTTAGGTACAGATACATTAGTGAACAAAACAGAAATATCCAGGTGTACACAGACTATAAATGTTCTTTGGTATGGACAGTAACTAAAAAATAAAATATAAAATCAAATGGTGATAAGTTCCTTAGAAAATGCAGCACACTTAGGGGATAAGGAGCAAGAAACATAGCAAATTTATCTCTAGTGAGACAGTGCAAAGAAAACCAAAATAATCATTTTATGAAACATTACCTAGTGAAACCTGGCTTGGTAAGGGAAAAAATCGCAATAGTGGTAACAGCTGCACAACTGATAAATGTTATCAGTGTTACTACATTATTGTTATTCGTAGTTGTCCTTGAGTTAATTTTGATGCATGGCAACAGTACCTGTGCATAGTAGAACTGCTCCATAGAGTTTTCAAGGTGTGACCTATCAAAAGCAGATTGCCAGGCTTGTGTTCTGAGGCGCATGTGGGTAGGTTCAAACCACCAACATTTCAGGTAGCAGTTGACTGCTTAACCACTTGTACCACCCACTAAATTTTACATGTGAAAGTTGTTGAACTGGCAAATGTTTTCTCATATATAGTTTTACTACAATAAAAAAAATTTCATAAAAAACAGTGAAGGAGAAATAAAGATGTTTTCAGACAACAAAAATGGAGGAAATTGGTAACCAGTAGAACTTCCTGCAAGAAATGGTAAAAGAAGTTCTTCAGAGAGGAGGAAAATGATATGAATCAGAAACTTGGATCTACATAAGGAAAGTGAGATCATTAGAAAATGAATAAAGGTAACATAAAATTATCTTTGCTATTCTTAACTGATCTAACAGTTAACAGTTTGTTCAAAATAACAGCAATATATATGTGTATATATATATTTTTAAGTTGTTGTTATAGAGTTTTCAATACACATTTACAACATGGATAGCACAAGTACGTTATAACTGTATTCTCAATCCCTCTCTCCTGTCCTCATGTTAGTGCCAATTCATTTTACTTATCCATAAACTGTCCATGAAGGGACACACCTGAAAGTTGACTAGGACTAGTTGCAAATGTATATTGCAAACTCTATAGCAATGACTTAAAAAAAAAAATAGTGTCTTAGTCATCTAGGGCTGCTCTAACAGAATTACCACAAGTGGATGGCTTTAACAAAGAGAAATTTATTCTCTCACAGTCCAGTAGGCTACAAGCCCAAATTCAGGGCTTTAGCTCCAGGGTAACGCTTTTTCTGTCGGCTCTGGAGGAAGGTCTGTGTCATCAATCTTCCTTTGGTCTGGGAACTTCTCTGCGCAGGAACCTCAGATCCAAAGGATGCGCTCTGCTTCCGGCACTGCTTTCTTGGTGGTATGAGGTTCCCATGCGTCTCTGCTCGCTTCTCTCTTTTATATCTCAAAAGAGACTGCATTAAGACACTATCTAATCTTGTCAACCTCATCAGTATAATCTCATCACAGTGACAGAATTTACAACACACACAAGGAGATCACCTATAATCTCATCATAGTGAGAGAGTTTACAACACATAAGGAAATCACATCAGATTACACAATCATACAACACTGGGAATCATGACCCAGCCAAGCTGACAGATATTTTTGGAGGACACAACTCAATCCATGACAAGCAGTATAATAGATATACTAAGAGGGGAGAATACGGAATCACATATAGAGTTCAACTGAAACCACAGGAGATAGAAAAAAAGGGAAAGACAAAAAAGAAAACAAGGGCAGTGAATAGAAAAGAGGAGCAAACACGAAGACATTAATACAACTATATCAATAATCCCTTTAAGTGTCGAAGTTCTACATATACCAACTAAAAGACAAAGACTACACTGTCCACAAAAAAGTCACTTAAAATATAAAACCACAGATAAAAAGTAAAAGAAACTCAAAAGAAAGATGGAGTAGCTATATTAATTTCGACAAAACAGGTTCCAGAAGCAAGGAAAATGATCAGGGATAAAGAGAGAAATTTACATGATAAAAGGATCAATTCTTCAAGAAGACACAACGATCCTTAACATATGAGTGTCTAACAAACAGCACCAAAATATGCGAGGCAAAAAATAACAGAACTGAAAGGAGAAATAAACGAATCCACTATTATAGTTGGGAGACTTCAACACCCCTCTAACAGTAACTGACAGATCCAACATGCAGAAAATCTGTAAGGCCACAGTTGAACTAACAGCACCATCAATCAACCAGTTTTGTCACCAGGCTTCATGTGGCGCCAGCACCACAGGACTCAGACACACTTGGGCAAGAGTGCTGGCCCACCACAGCACCCGTCCATGCTCAGGCTGTGGCAGTCCTGTCCGCGCAGATTGGCTACAAGAAACTCCATGGCTCTCAGGCCTGGCCGCAAACTACCCCAGAGTAAACACACAGTTTCAACTGTTTATTTTACAAAAACTGGGGTACTACTAAACTTGATCCGTGACTTCTTGGCCATGGCTTATACTTGTATTATACAAATACGATTAAAAGTAACATTTTTGGCCTACTGAATGAGGGTGAATGAGGCCAAAATTCACTTCCTGAAATGTCACGAAACATGCGAGGTATATGCATGGGCTTGCTAAGCCAGAACTCTGTTACATAATTTCCTCATTTCCACACATTATATGTGTATGCGCAATATTTACACAGGTGCACTATTTGCAAAAAATAGGGTATATGAGGAAAACTACAAAACTCTCATGCTCGAATTCAAAGATCTAAATAAATGCAGATATATCCATGTTTATGCATGGGAAAACTCAATACTGAGTCAGATTTGCCCAAAGTGATCTGTATTTTCAATGCAATCTCAATCAAAATCCCAGGAAGTTATTTTTTAACTATTGACAAAATTTCTAACACACGAAAAGAGCAAAGGCTCAGAAGAGCTGACACAATATTGAAGAATAACCAAGTTGGCAGACTGATACTACACTACTTCAAGAATTACTCTGAAGACACAGCAATCAAGAGCTTGTAGCACTGGCAAGAGAACAAACAGATAAATGGAACAGAAGAGAGTCCAGAAACAGACAAAAATACAGTCCTTTGGTAAAGACCAAAGACAATTCAGTGGAGAACAGATGTTGTTGTTAGGTGCCCCCATTAGTTTTTAGAGAAATGGAAATCAAAATCTCTATGAGATACCACTTCTTTCTCACTGTTGCTGTTGTTGTTGTTCGGTGCTGTCACATCGGTTCCGGCTCATAGCGATCCTATGTACAACAGAACGAAACAGTGCCTGGTCCTGTGCCACCCTCACAATCACTGTTACGCTTTAGCCCATGGTTGCAGCCACTGTGTCAATCCATCTTGTTGAGGGTCTTCCTCTTTTTCGCCGACCATCTACTCTACCAAGCACGATGTCCTTTTCTAGGGACTGGTCCCTCCTGATAACATGTCCAAAGTAAGTGAGACAAAGTATTGCCATCCTCACTTCAAAGGAGCATTTTGGCTATACTTCTTCTAAGATAGATTTGTTCATTCTTCTGGCAGTCCACAGTATAGTTAATATTCTTCCCCAACACCATAATTAGAAGACATGAATTCTTCGGTCTTCCTTATTCATTGTTCAGCTTTCGCATGCATATGAGGCGACTGAAAATACTATGGCTTGGTCAGGCTCACCTTTACACTGGATCAGGGATGTGACCTTAGTACGGGTGTTACAATTCCACCCTAATCCTCTTTAACATAAAATTACAATCACAAAATGGAGGACAACCGTACAATACTGGGAATCATGGTCCAGCCAAATTGATACGCACATTTTTGGGGGGACATAATTCAAATCCAAGACAAGTGATAACCTTCTTAATATAATTTTCATTATTATAGAAAGTCATGCGCAAATCCCTTCATTTTGATTTTACTTATCTTAGTTAAGAAGAGCTTTTATACCTAAAATATTGACACTCGGATCTTAGAAATTTACATTTATATTCACTAGAACGAGGTTTGTAAAACCAAAATAATGGCCACAATCCAAGTGTCCATTCACGGTGATAACAGTTAAAAACAACAATGACAAAACTAAGATCAATCATATGTAGTATTCTGGAGTTTTATAAGAATTCAGATTAAAGCTATGTATTGTTAGAAAGAGATCAACAAGAGAATTTGTTTGTTAAAAGTGTAAATTCCAAGCTACCTTTTGTATAACAAAAGTAGGGGAAATAAAAAAATTTTATTTACATTTGCTTGCTTTTACATAAACACTAGCAAGATACTTCAGAGAGAAATAAAGCTGGTTATTTAAAGGTAGTGGGGGAAAATGGATGGGCTAGATAAGGACAAGAGTAGGAGTAGTCTTCATAAAATATACTTTTAAAGTGTATATTGAATTTTCAACCGTGAAGGTATTATCTACTGGAAAAACAATTTCAAAAACTACATTGTACTTTTAAACATGCTATAAATCAAATGAGATATGAAGTGTTTTTATTAGGAATTCACATTTGTAATAATAAAACCATATAAAATTTAATCATTTATAACCTAACTGTTCTTAAACAGTCTAATACACTTGTGCAAATCACAAAAGTATAAATTAGAGCGTTTTCTAAACACAGTAACCAGGGATATCAGAGTCTGTACATACACTTTATCTCAGCCAAGAGAGTTTCTAAAATGGCTAAAATATTGAATATATTAAGGGCTCTGGCATGACTTGTTAAATGTAATAGGAGCCTTTAAGACACTTCTCAAGATTTAAGTAAGCTTCAGAGTAACTTTTACATCACTTAAAACAGGCATTCCTCTGTGTTTGAGTTTACATCCATTAAATTGAAAAATTCTCAGTAGAAACACACCAACTGATCAGGAAATTTTCTTCCAGTGGAAACTGTAAACCCAAGAATTTAAATACACACATCTCATATGTTGAGCTTCTCTAGCAAAAGAGAACACTTTAATTTTGGATTCTAATTCGAGTCTGGAGAGCAGACGAAAACTGCAGGGATTTAATACCAGCGCTCAGCATAGGTGGGAGGACAAGGGCTAACGTTGGGGATTCATGCTTCTCACACACCTGAAAGCTGCAAGGCAAAAGCATTCCCCACTGAAAAAAAAGATAGGTGTAGAGACCCCACACATAATCCAGCTGGACTTACTATCCCCAGGGTCATACCTTTGGTGAGGGCATAAGAGCACCAAGTCCCACCTAGGACCCCATAAACAGTCAGGGCCTTCCCCTACAAACTCTCTCCTCCCTTACTACTCCATCACACCATGAAAGAGGTGGAGATGCAGTGTTAGAACTGCACTGAAAAGGCTGCAGTGCCTGGGGGAAGCCAAGAACACTGTTTGCAGTGATGGGCCTAGGGCTCAGCCTCTTCAGCCAAAGCTGCTCTGTCTTCACACTGTGGTCAGGAAACAGTCATTCAACACAGAGCATCAAGGCCCAGGGTGGATGGTAATGCCCCAAGGTGGCAGGTCTGAGAGTCTCATAAAGAAGTGAACCTAAGCATCCAAATCTTGAAAAACGAATTATGTGTAGACGAAGGGCCCAGTGACACTGGAGCATGGTCTTAGGATGCCTTCTAGGGCTCAGTCACGTGGCCTCCTCTGCTACCTTTTTGCCTCCCTGAAGAACCACAGTTGTGGTTCACAGCACTGGTGATGCAGTGGTTAAGAGCTTGGCTGTTAACCAAAAGGTCAGCAGATTGAATCCACCAGCCGCTCCTTGGAAACCCTATGGAGCAGTTCCACTCTGTCCTACAGGGTCGCTAAGAGTCGGAATTGACTTGACAGCAGTGGGTTTGGGAGGAACCAGAGGGCCTGCAGCACACAGGTGGTCCCCCAACAATACGTATTGAGCCTCATCCTGTCATGGCAAAAATAACCCAGCTCTCCATAGTACTCACCATTTCCTTGCTCCAGCTTCTGGAAGTCCAAGTAAATGTCCTCTCTAAGCCCAAGAAGCCGCTTCATTAAAAGGGATGGAAGCGGAGAAACTTCCGGCAACATGACACTCTAGGCAGACGCACCATGCCGTCCCTCCACAGCAAAGGTCCGCAAAACTAAGCCAAACAGAGAAAACAGCAATCCTGAAATCCTAAAACATCAAATGAAGAGATAAAGAACTCAGCCAAGAACCAAACGGAGTGAGAAACTGACAGAGAAGAGAGAGTGAGGAGAGATTCATGCAGAGGTCCCCTACAAGCTAACGCA